TCCACCCTTTGGTTGTGTTGTTTGTGGAGATGGTTGGGTGTGGCTCTGGTGGGTGTGAAACTGGCCACCAGGTGTATTAGTATGGGGGCCTCTTGGAATGGTCTTTGGTGAAGCCAAGGTGAGCTACTGCCTGTGCCTGGTCTGGGACGACCTGGTATAAGTTTTACGGTTATCTGCAGATAGTTTTCATTGTGCTGGGCTTGGAGGCACATACCCATTGGGAAGTGTGCAGGAGGCAGTTGATCAATGTTTCTCTCTCATTGATGTTTCTGGCTCTCTGTCTCTCTTCCTTCCTCTCTATAAAAATTCAGGCTAAGATTCATACTGAGGCTGGCTGAAAACTATGCCAGGCTTGGGGCTGCTTAGCAAGAGATATAGGGCATACTGAGGCCAGGACTGCTTGTTTTCAGTTTGTGAACCTTTGAAAGATTTTTAGGGAAGTCCAAAACGTGAGCAAAAACAAGCCATTCGCATGGAATAGCTGTTAGAAGCAGTTTGGGTGGGCTGCAAGTGGGTTGGAGTGGGATCTTAGGGAATCACCAGGGCAGGGCAAATGGTGTTAACCAGGTTGCTGGATACTCAGGCTTGGCACCTGTCTGTGCCTGCAGGCTGGGTGAGGGGAAGGCTCAACAAAGGAATACTGTTGGTTGCCAACACTTCTGTTTGGGAGAATACTGCCCTCCAGTCCTTGCCTTAAAGCCAGACAAGTTAGTTCCTCTCTGTCTGTCTCTGGTACTTTCCAAGGGGCTGCCCCAGTGCTGGAGCACAGATTTAGTGAGTCTCTCAGTGAGTAAGTCTGTGCGTGGGCCCTTTTAGAGGAACGTCTGGGACTCCAGCAGCCTCCCTCTCACTCAGCCGTAATCCCTGCTAGTTTTCACAGCTAGAAATGAAGGAGACTTCTCTTCCGAGCACTGGGAGCCCAGCGCGGGGCCAGGACCCCTCTCTCCTCTCCAGGCGCCTTTGAGGCTGAGATATCCCTTTGATTTTTAACCACCATACCTGGGTGTAGGATCAGCTCCTTCACCATCTCCACCCCACCTACCAATTTCCACGTGGTTTCTTCCGAATATCCTTAGCTCTAGGATTTCTTTTTCTTTTTTTTTTTTTTTAAATATATTTTATTGATTTTTTACAGAGAGGAAGGGAGAGAGCTAGAGAGCTAGAAACGTCGATGAGGGAGAAACATCGACCAGCTGCCTCTTGCACACCTCCTACCGGGGATGTGCCTGCAACCAACGTACATGCCCCTGACCGGAATCGAACCTGGGACCTTTTAGTCCGCAGACCGACGCTCTACCACTGAGCCAAACCTGTTTCGGCAGCTCTAGGATTTCTGTTCAACTAGTCTTCAGGTGGTTCTTAATGATGCTTGTTCTGTCGTTTAGTTGTGATTTGATGTGGTTGTGGAGGAGGTGAGCGCAACGTTTATCCACTCAGCTATCTTGACCGGACATCTCCCCAGTTTCTGAGTACGTGGGTTTTCATGTATCACATCTATAATTATTTATATGTCTAAAATACTTAAATAAAAATTAAAACTAAAATAAAATACATTCTTTTATTCCTACTTCCATTTCCTTTATTGTTGTTAAATTATTTATTCAGTAAATTAGAATCAGGAGAGAAAGTTCAGTAGCTAAATGGTACTTTGGAGATTTGTCAGCATTGAAAAGTTCTTTTCACCCTGACCGGTTTGGCTCAGTGGGTAGAGCGTTAGCCTGCAGACTCAGGGGTTCTGGGTTCAATTCCAGTCTGGTTCAATATGCCTGGGTTCAATATGCCTTGGTTGAGGGCACATACTCAGTGAGGAGTGTGCAGGAGGCAGCTGATCAATGTTTCTCTCTCATCGATGTTTCTGGCTCTCTGTCCCTCTCCCTTCCTCTCTGTAAAAATTCAATAAAATATATATTTTAAAAAAAAAAGAAAGAAAGAAAAAGAAAAGTTTTTTACTTTGAGAAGGCATTGGATATAGAATCCCGTTAATGAATCTCAGGGCTTGGTTCCTATAGAACTGTTTGTTCAGTTGACTCTTGGAAGAGTGGTCCCAGGGTTATAGCTGCCTGTGTTCAGAGAGCATCCCCCACCTCTGCATGGGCATCCCTCCCTCAGGCTCCCTGCCTTTCCCTGCAGGCCTCATGTGAACTGGCCTGGAAGTCATTCCACTGGGAGGCGGCGGTAGCAGCTGCCAGCAAACTGCCCTGCTTTCCCAGGAAGCCTGCTCCAGCCCTTTCCTACTCACTCAGCAAGTCCTCATTCCAGGCTGCTGACCTTGGATTTCTCCCTCCTGTGTAAACACAGCCAACTGGGGACCTACATTCCTGAAGGAAATTCTCTCTCCGCAGAAATGGAAATGAAAACTCCAACACATTCAGCAACCTAGAACTAACTGCACATGGACTTTCCTATCTCCTGAATCTCTGGGTTTCCTTCTCACTTTCTGGATACAACCCTGATTTCAGGTGTTGGAATAAATGTCTCCTTGACAGCCCTTAGTTTTACGGTTTTCTCGTATGGATTCCTAGGAAAGGAGAGGCCATGGGCAGAGTGGGTAAATGGAGGAAGCTGGTCCAGGTAACTAACTCCTTGTTAAGTTACTTAATGAACCAACCCAGTATCTATTCAGACTCTTTGTTATGCAAGATAATATAATTCTTTTATTATTTAAGCCGTGGTTGGTTGCGAGTTCTGTTACAGCTGAGACATCTTAGTTGTCATAGGATGAAAAGGAATTTTTGTCATAGATTTGTGTTGTTGTTATAGGTATTTTCGAGGAAGGCTGGAATGGTAGTGATAGATAGAAGACCTCTGAGGGCCAGTGTGGTGCCACTGCATCAGAGTTACCTAGCAGTTTGGTAGGACTGCAAATTCAAGGGCTACCTGCCAGGCTCACCGAATCAGATTCTCTGGAAGTGGGGCTGGGAATCTAAACTGGTATTTTAACAAGGCCCCCTCCAGCGATTTTGATGCAACTAAAGTTGGAGAAAATACTGACCTAGGAAACACCTACAGCTGGGAGTGTGATTGGTCCAATAAAGTGCTGGGCCTCTAGCTCATTACTAACCTCCCAGAGGCTGATCTAACCCTCTAGGCCTCACCTTCCTGTTCTGTCACAGCAATGTGAGAAGCAGATGCGGAACTGGGTGTAAAAATGGTTTGAGAGAGCTAAAACCTTGGTTCTTAGGAGAGTCCCTGAGCTGACCCAGCTGTGCCAGTGGACACAGCATCCAAGTGTGTGGGATCAGGCTGGACCTCACCCCACCAACCTGAGCTTTGTGTAGGACCTGTCTCCATTGGTGTGTCCAGATGCCCAGCGATGGAACTGGCAGGGAGAAGGTGGATACTCACTTGTATTTTTTTTTTAAATATATTTTATTGATTTTTTACAGAGAGGAAGAGAGAGGGATAGAGAGTTAGAAACATCGATGAGAAAGAATCATTGATCAGCTTCCTGCAGACCCCCTACTGGGGATGTGCCCGCAACCAAGGTACATGCCCTTGACCGGAATCGAACCTGGGACCCCCCAGTCCACAGGCTGACACTCTACCACTGAGCCAAACCGGTCTCGGCATCACTTGTCATTTTTAATTGAACTCAGTTGCCCCTATGTTGAGTTTTTTTGTTTGTTTGTTTGTTTGTTTGTTTGTTTGTTTGTTTGTTTGTTTTTTGATTCCTGCAATCGGGAAGAACAGGAACCCTCTGTGTCTTACAACCTCAGTAGCCTCAGCTGTGTTCCCCCACCCCACCTCTATTGAAGTGACCCATCCACACCTACTCCGGGTTTCCCTGGCCTTCCTCACCCAAGGAGATACAGGACCCAGGACCCTGGAGGCCGTCTGAAGTCTAGGTCTTGAGCCCTTCTGCCTCTCAAGTTACTAGGTGTTGCCCCCATTATGGCATTACCAGACTGAAAGAGTCCATCTGCCTGTGGGCATCAAGCCCAATAAGACACAAACAGGAGTGTGCAGCCAAAGTGGAGATTTAGTAAGGAAATGGTACTATGCCCGGAGTCACAGGTAGCTAACACTTAAAACACTGGCTCCCCTGTGGCTTTTAGTGGACGGTTACTTAGGGGAAAAGTCACTAATCAACGATGAAGGGAGATACGTTAGGGTCACGGTCAGGGTTGTGGTCTCTACTGACTGGTCAGGCTAGGGCAGGGGGTCATTGATCATTGCATCTGGTCTTGATGTCAGCCATGGCCTTGGTTCATCTTGTTTTGCAAAGATTCCTTTCGTGGGATGTTCTGGAGCTGGAACACAGCTGAGGCCTAGATGTTATCTCTAGTTTGACCAAAACTCTTTCTCTGTGGTCAACAGGCCAGATGTTTCCTTCTTAAAATTATCTAATGTGGCCCAGGGCTTAATGATCCTTGTCCTGAGGGCTTAATGATCTAGCAAGTGAGAGGGAGGTTGGGTGAGTCAGGGCGCGTGAGGCCCATTTGAGTCAAAGGGAAAAAATGAAAATAAAACAGACTAAAGAAAATAAGGTTTCTACACGGTTACCACGGAGCCACTCTCTGAGCCAACCACTAGGCCCCCCTCAGAGGTGGTGCCCCCACTCAGAGGCGGTGCCCCCAGCTGCTTGGGGGGGAGGGGGAGAGGACCAGTGATGGGGAGAAGGCGTGTGCGCTGGTCAGAGAGCCAATCACAGCAGGACAGACAAGCCGGCCGGCCCCAGGAGCCACTCAGGCGCAGGCTGACCGTTCTCCCTGCCCTAGGACTGGGCAAGCCTCCTGCCAATCAGGGGCGGGGCAAGCGGGGCTCGGCCAGTAGCGGGAGGCGGCAGCGTCAGGCGCCCAGCTGGTGGTCCCCGCGGTGGCCGCTGCCCGGTGCGCAGGCTGAGGAGGGAGTGCGGCCCCCAGCCCGCCGGCCGCGCTCCGCCCCACCCCGCCCGCCCGCCCGCCCGCGGCCCCGCGTCATGCCCGCCGCTGCTCCCCGCTAGCGCCCCGGGTCCGCTGCCCGCCTGCCCGAAGCCGCGCCCACTACCCAGAGCCAGAGGGATGGTGGTAGTCACGGGGCGGGAGCCAGACAGCCGTCGCCCGGACGGTGCCATGTCCAGCTCCGACGCCGAGGACGACTTTCTGGAGCCGGCCACCCCGACGGCCACGCACTCGGGGCACGCGCTGCCCCTGCTGCCCCAAGAGGTACCTGCACGGAGCGGGTTGTGGGGAGGACACAGGGGGATCCGCAGGTGCTGGGCTGAGCTGACCTTGGGATGCAAGCCCGCCAGGTGCGCAGATCAGGGGTCGGGCTGGGGGCGGTGCCAGAGGGGCTGTAAAATGCACCAGGTGTGTCTTCCCTGCCACAGAGGTCATCTGGCCCCGAACCCCCTCCTTCTTCCAGGAGTCACTGCCAGTGAGGTTGACTTAGTCCGCGAAAAGGGGACCTGGAGCCCCAAGAGATGGTAGTGCCTTCTGGAAAACCCAAGAGGCCTTGGTGGCCACCCAAACCCAATGCCCAGCTGCCTTGGCCGTGGAGTAAGGCACTGCGTGCAGGTAAAAAGCAGGCCAGTTGGTCGAGGTGTCCACACTCATCTGACAACTCCCTGGCTTTCCCTCCCTAGCTGCAGTGCCGTGGTGCACGGTGGCTTCCCCTGGTCTTCGCGTGCATGACAGTACCATAGTAACACCTAGAATGGCCCTTCACAAGAGGGAGAAGAGTAGGAGAGGTTGGCACTGTAGGGCCCTGAAGATAGAGACTAGGAAGGAGGAGGAGCTAAGGGAGTGTCAGATAGGGGAGGATGTGATGTGTGGAGACAGGAGAATGGACAGCGCCCCAGAGGGGTTGGGCAGGGCTAGGTGAGGCTTTGGGGAACCAGAGAGTGTTGTTTGGGAGCCAGAAGTCCATAGCTTGAATGTCAGGGGGCCCTTGTGAAAATGAGCAGAACTCGAGAAGTACTCTGTGCAGTTGGGGAAAAGGAGCCATTGAAGACACAGTGGTACTGTTTTTGTGTGCATTGTCCTTGGGGAATGATGTGGTTTGGAGGAAAGAGTACAGAGCCAGCTCCCCCACAGAGTACATGGCTCTACGTGAGATCTTAAACTGTTCTTGGTTGCCTTTTCCTTCTCTGCCTCAGTCTTTTCATCTCTAACATGGAGCAAACCCTTGGATTGGTATGGGTATGGGTTATCCTTGGTATGCACATAATAGATCATTTGCGTCCTTGCTAGGCACATAGAATAGCTTTAGAGGGGCTATAGAATAAGCAGAAGGCATTTCCTGTCCTTTGGGTGCAGAAGAGTGACAGTACATATATACATGGAACTGTCATACTATTTCAGTCACCCATTCAATGCATATTTGGGTGCTTACTGTGAGGCAGGCACTACACAAGGCCCTGGGTAACTTTTATTTAATGCATATTTACCCTACTTTATTCACAAAGAATTTGAAAGCTGGGGAAAAGACCTTATTAGATAAATATACATAGAGTTTCACTGGAGCCTGGGAGATGTCAAAATATTGAAAAGTGTGCACTGGGACAAAAATGTTAATCTGCAAGAGGAGAATTGGAAAATTAGAGAGAACCAGCCTTGTTCCTTTCAACATCATGAGTGAAAAGATATCAAAAGAGAAAAAGAACAGAAAACATCCCAAGCATGAGCTTCTCAGGGCAACTCTATTCCATCTTTCTCTGTTCTTCGCCCTGCCCTTGCCTCCACACCCTCAGCTGGACTGGGGACTCATCTCACATTACAGATGAAGAAGGAATTATTCGACAGACATCCAGGAACCCTGCTGTGGGTGGCCTCCTAATGGGTGAACAAGATGCTGTCCCTGCCTCGGGAAGCTTGGGTTCTAGAAGAATGGGCTGACAGAAGAAAATAAATCACCCATGCAGTGGGCTGGGCACTGTAATAGAGGAGAATGTGGCATACAGTGAAGGCAGCAGTGGAAGGCGTGTTTAGTTAACTCTGTCTTGTGAGCTGGCCGGGGACAATAGAGCAGAAATGTCACAAAGTGGAACTTGAATAGAAGCTGTTCGAATGAGTGGCTGCGGCTAACCCGTATGGTTCCTGGGTGTGAATTGGAAAAAGAACACACATCTGGGCCAGCAGATTACTCTCATCCAGGCGCCTGCAGGGAACAGTCTACACCACCCAGGGGGGCACTCGCCGTTGCTAGGTGGACAAAGGGATAGCGGTAAGAGCTTTTTGGACAGAGAAGACAGCATGAGCAAGGGAACAAAGATGGTGAATTCAGGAAGAAAGAGGAGGGCAATAAAGGCTTTGAACTCTGGAGCAGAAATAGTAGGATTGGGGTGGAGGGACCTGATTTAGGAGCTGATGGGAGGATGGACAGGGCTTGGCACCGGATGAGTGTGGGCAAAAGGAGGAGAGAGGAGTGTTCAGGAAGACTCCTGGGTTTTGGGTGACTGAGTGAATGGTGAGGCTTTGATCAGACCCAAGAAGACTGCAGACGGAGCAGCCCGGCTGTCATTTTTCTTGCCTGGCTGAACATGCCACTGTGTTTGTGTGTGGTGTTTTTTTCCCTCCAGTTTCCTGAGGTTGTTCCCCTTAACATTGGAGGGGCTCACTTCACCACACGCCTGTCCACCCTGCGGCGCTACGAGGACACCATGTTGGCGGCCATGTTCAGCGGGCGGCACTACATCCCCACCGACGCCGAGGGCCGGTACTTCATCGACCGGGACGGCACGCACTTCGGGTATGTCTCTCCCTCTACCATCATCTCTGCAGTCCTAGCGAATGAGGGGCCTGGGTGGGCATGGGGCTTAGTATCTCCCAGAGTGCCCAGAAGAGGAGAGAACATACTGACAGAATTTAATAAATGTTTAAATGGATCTAAATGTTTAGTTTCTTTTCCAGAGGAGACAAGGACAGCTGGAGAAACCTCAGATAACACACACTGGCTGGTTGTAATGCAACTGCTTCTGTCCTACGTCCTTTAAGGCTGTGGAGCTGTCATCTTGTGGAAAGGAATAGGTGTGATTCCACCTGGAGGTGGGGAGTTCCAAAACAGCTTTTTGGAGAATACCCTCAGATCAGTAGGGAGGAAGGAGGTTGTGTGACAGTAGTTCCCTGAGTTCTTTCAATAGATTTTTTTTTTTAAACAATATGTTTTTGAGAGAGAGAAGAAGGGAGAAGGATAGAGAGATAGAAACTATGAGAGAGAAACATCATTGATCGGCTGCCTCCTGCAGGCCTCCCACAGGGGATCCCAACCCAGGCATGTGCCCTGACCAGGAATCGAATCGGTGACCCCTTGCCTCCTGGGTCAATGCTCAACCGCTGAGCTATACCATCTGGGCATAGTAGTTTAAAACAAATAAACAATTTGGCTCAGTGGATAGAGCGTTGGCTTGGGGACTGAAGGGTCCCAGGTTCGATTCCGATCAAGGGCATGTATCTTGGTTGCGGGCAATATCCCCGGTAGGGGATGTGCAAGAGTAAGCTGATCGATGACTCTCTCTCATCGATGTTTCTAACTCTGTATCTCTTTCCCTTCCTCTCTGTACAAAATCAATAAAATATATTTAAAAAAACACACAAATAAACAAAAAAAGGTGTGGGAAGGGCCATCCTTTAATGTTGCCCAGAAAAGTCTATAAAAAAAAAACAAAACCCTTCAATTATTACTGTCATTTTAACACTAAAACATGGAAACACAGACTCTCAAAAAATAGGTAGACTTTCTCAAAAAAGGACTTCTGACAACCTTACACATAAACCATTTAAAGACTTTTTTTCAGTGTCCTTGTTTGTGAAATGAAAAACAATAATAGTGGCCTTGCAGGCCTGTCATGTGGATTAAATAAAGTCTTACTGTGACTCCTGGGCTGGTCCATTCAGAGTATACGGCTGACGCTTCTTTCCCCTTCAGCCTGACTTTGGAGATGACTAAAGAACGAGCATGGTCCTTGACCTTGGACAAAACAACCAGGGAGGCAGAAACTCTAATCTGTTATGGCCTCCAAGTAGCATTTCCCACACTGGGAGAAGGTCATTTTCATCCTCAGAAAGGAGACTCTGGTCAAATAATTTGCTCTGAAGCATATGGGTTTCTCCAGCGGGTTGTCCGCAGCCTCCAATGCTGAGAAAACAAAGTGTCACGTCGCTCAGCAGAGCTATAAAAAGGTTTTTGTTCGCAGGCTGTTTGGGGGAGGAAAGTGCCGGCCCCAGCTGGCTGCTCCCACAACACTCGTGGCTGGGCTGGCCCTGGGGATGTGTTTTTCAGAGCTTACCAAGGTTTGCTTAGGATCCTGGAGGACCAGTCTTAGCAGGGGGTGTGGGGAGGGGAAATAGGATTTGGCTTCAGCTGGAGAATGACAGAGCAGGCAAGGGTGCTGGGCAGACAAGTAGGATATTGTGCCATTTATCCTCAGGCTGCTAGGCTCCAGTGGCCTAAGATTCATCAGCAACAGATGAAGTTGTTGATAGACTCCGATAAAGTATCCTGGACGGGTAGCTCAATTGGTTAGAGCCTCGTCCTGATACACCAAGGTTGCAGGTTTGATTCCCGGTCAGGGCGCATACAAGAAGCAACCAATTAATGCATAAATAAGTGAAACATCAAATTGATGTTTCTCTCTCTCTGTAAAATCAATTAAAAAAAAAAGACTCAGATAAAGTAAAGTAGGAATTTAGGGCATTTGCTGGGGTAAATTTCTCTGCTGGTGTAGCTCACACACCCCTAGCACCTGCCTGGGCCTCCACGTGGGACAGTTTCCCATTGTGATCAATGAAGAGCGCTTTGGATTACAGTCTGGACCACTGTGGGTGTGGGCTTGGAGTCAGCCATTTCTGCATCTGAGCCTCTGGCTAATTGTGGCTCCTTGAGCAACAATGTTCCTTAACCTCCACTTTTTCCTCATTTATAAATGGACATAAGATGGCACTTATCCCATATTATTGAAAGGATTCAGTGAGATAACAAATAATAGAAGTTGACACAGATTAATACTTAGTGTCAGCTGGTGTTGCATTATAGTCATAGACTAACTAGAGGAGTGACAGCTTAACATGGAGTTTACTCACATGTCCTAACAGAAAAGCCCTTGCCACACCTTCCATTGCTGGATCGGATTACTCTTAGCACTAAACAATTTGAAAAGAGCCCTAGCTGATTTGGTTCAGTGAATAGAGCATTGGCCTGCAGACTAAAGGATCCTGGGTTCGATTCCGGTCAAGGGCACACTCCTGGGTTGTAGGCTTGATCCCCAGTAGGGGGCCTGCAAGAGGCAGCCAGTCAATGATTCTCTCTCATCATTGAAGTTTCTATCTCTCTTTCCCTCTCCCTCTCTCTCTGAAATCAATATATAATTTTTATTTTAAGAAAATGCAGTATGTGCCAGCACCGGTTTGGCTCAGTGGATAAAGCGTCGGCCTGCGGACTGAAGGGTCCCGGGTTCGGTTCCGGTCAAGGCATGTACCTTGGTTGCGGGCACATCCCCAGTAGGGGATGTGCAAGAGGCAGCTGGTCGATGACTCTCTCATCGATGTTTCTAACTCTCTATTCCTCTCTCTTCCTCTCTGTGAAAAATCAATAAAATATATTTTAAAAAAAAGAAGAAGAAAGAAAGAAAATGCAGTATGTGATTTTTAAGAATGTCTCTTTATTGTTGAAAGTATTACAGATGTCACAACTTCCCCTCCCCCCAAAACTAGCCCCCTCTACCCTCCCCTGCCCAGGCCTACTGCACTATTGTCTGTGTCCATAGGTTATGCAGATTTGCATATAAGTGCTTTGGTTAATCTCTTCCTGCCTCAGCCTCCCCCTTCCCTCAAATTCTGGAACCGGTTTGTTCAGATGTTAGGTTTAGGCATTTGATCTTCTCTGTATAGCCACAGAATAATACTAATGGCAGGATATGTAGAAGATGTGGAACCTTTCTACATTGCTAGTGAGAATGTAAAATGCTACAGCAAGTCACTCTGTTAAACATGCACTATAACTGAACAATTCTACTTCTGACATCTACCCAAGAGAAATAGGTGCATGTGTTCACAGCACGTCTTCTATACAGGAATGCTCATCACAGCTTTGCTCCTAAGAGCCCCAATTGGAAACTACTCCAGTGTCCATCAACTGGAGAATGGGTGAATGATTGTATGGGCAAAAGTAGGTTTACAGTTGTTCATATGGAAAGTAATATAAGAATTAATAAATAACAATATGAAAATAAATTGTTTTATGTATGCACAACTGTAAGCCTACTTTTGCCCAATCCTGCATGTTAAGAGACTAGTAACCTTCCCATTATTCCTATATATACCTCATAATAATTGTAATTATAATAATGGTACTGCTAATAAGAACTATTAATACTTACTGAGGACTTATTCCAAGCCATGTATTTTCTAAGCATTTTTTTATATACTAATTCATTTAATCCTATAATACCATGGAGTAGTTTTTTTTTTTTTTTTATTTCCCCCCATTTTTCAGACAGGAAAATCAAGGCACAGAAAGGTTAAGTTCACAAACCAGGGTTACACAGCCGGCGGTCTGGTTCCAGATTCTGTGTTCTAACCACTATGTGGCACTACCCAGTTCCATCAGCTCCTTCTCACCAGCCCTCTCTCCTTCCTGCTAGAGACGTGCTGAACTTCCTGCGCTCCGGGGACCTGCCGCCCCGGGAGCGAGTGCAGGCTGTGCACAAGGAGGCCCAGTACTACGCCATCGGGCCCCTCCTAGAGCAGCTGGAGAACATGCAGCCCCTGAAGGGGGAGAAAGTGCGTCAGGCGTTCCTGGGACTCATGCCCTATTACAAAGGTGAGGGGTCAGGTTCCGGGACAGCCAGGGCATATGGGGAAGGCATCTGGCAGTGCCTCGCCCGCTGCCAGAACAAGGTTCACATGTATACTGGAGACACGAGAGAATCCAACTCCCTTTCTTGGTCACACTGGGAAAGATACAGGTTCAGGGGGCCCCACCTTGCCTGTGACTGGCATCAAATCACATTTCCAAAGGATGGTCCTCATCCCATCCCCTTGATTTCCTTTTGCAATGGAGAGCCATGACCCCTCTTTAACTTTGTATCCGGCATAAGGCCCGAAGAGTCTCTTCCCCCAGGAATCTGGCTCTTCCCCCTCGGGTCCTGCCATCACTGGGGCGCTCGGTGCCCTCTCTACTGCCTTGCCCTCCCACTCCCTACCTGTTAAGCCCCGTGCCAGTGATGGCCGCTGTGTCCATCCCCATAGACCATTTGGAGCGGATTGTGGAGATTGCCCGGCTGCGCGCAGTCCAGCGGAAGGCCCGCTTCGCCAAGCTCAAGGTCTGCGTCTTCAAGGAGGAGATGCCCATCACCCCCTACGAGTGTCCACTCCTCAACTCTCTGCGCTTCGAACGGAGTGAGAGTGACGGGCAGCTCTTTGAGCACCACTGTGAAGTGGACGTGTCCTTCGGGCCCTGGGAGGCTGTGGCTGATGTGTATGACCTGCTGCACTGCCTGGTCACGGACCTGAAAGCCCAGGGCCTTGTCGTGGACCACCAGTGCATTGGGGTGTGTGACAAACACCTCATCAACCACTACTACTGCAAGCGCCCCATCTATGAGTTCAAGATCACGTGGTGGTGAGTAGTCCTGGTAGGGAAGAGAGCCCCGTCAGGGAGGGTGTGGGAGTCAGATCCCTGGAAGGGCTCCTGACTGCCCCAGAACCCGCGGAGGTGAGGACCGAGTCCGGAGGCACAGCTCCAAGTGGACGGAGGTGCAGCTCTAGTCTCCCCTGCTACTCCCTGGGGCCGGGCTCAGGGCTTGTGGCCCACGGGATCCCGGTACCTGAACTTACCTGGCCTTTCCTCCGGGCGGGGCAGTCCTTACCTGAGGTCAGTGAGACTGGCTGGCCTGGGGTTGGCCAGGAAGTCCAGAGAGGTTTTGTTACTTTCTTGACTTTGCAAGAGAGTTTCTGCCCTTTTTAGAGCCACATTGCCAAAATAATTGTAGGCACAATCACTCCCTTGACCCTGTGCAGGTATTCCTTCCTTGTGCTCAGTGTATGTATGAACATAGGACATGATGGGGGATTTTAACCCAGATAGCCAATCCACAGTCTCTGACTGAAGAAGGAGCACCTTCTCTCCCTCCTTCCCCAAGAACAGCCCCCCACTTTGTGTTAGGATGTGAAAAGACGCTTTCCTCCCAAAATGTATTCTTCACCACTTTTTGGAGATGTAACCATAGTTGCCAAAACTATGCACCAGGTGGGCCTTAAAAAAGCACAATGTTTACAGCCCTGCTCTGGGCCTCAGCTGCTTCCATCTTCCACCAACCGTCCTCGCTTGCAGGGTTACCTTCTCACAGGGCTGGATTATACATTTCAGAGGCGCCTTTTGAAGATTCTCTCAGTCAAGCAGGCAAGTTGTCTACATCTTATCTTTGAGATGCCACATTCTTTCTGGAAGCTCAGAATGCCTCTTTGGCTGCCATTTCATCTGTCAGGATCCAGTTTGTGGTGAACTCTTTGATGAGAGCCCCCTTTTAAAAAAATCTTTTTATGTTTTAATTACAGTTGACATATTTTATTATATTAATTTCAGGTGTACAGCATAGTGGTTAGACATTTATCTACATTACAAAGGACCCATCTGACATCAATGATCACAACATTATCGACTATATGCCCTATGTTGTACTTTACATCCTTTTGTTTTTCTTTTTCCAATTACAGTTTACATTCAATATTATTTTGTATTAGTTTCGGGTAGAACTCTTTCTTTTTGAAACCTTGCTTTACGCCACTCACATTCTCTTTCTAGGAGAGTATCTGTTCTAGAGAAGAAATGGAAGGGCTAGGTGAGAGACACAGCTGTCCCAGGGGCTATAGGAAGACAGCAGCAAACCTCCGTTGTGTTTTACTCCCCACATTTCAGAGAGAAAAAAAGATCCACGAGGTTCCGCTCCTTTTTGCTCTGTGTGCAGCCTGGGGCGGCTAGTCAGGGTAGGGACATGCATCTCCTAAAGAAAGACTTTGCAGCACCAGTATTTGGAGGGTAGCATTTCTGTGCTGCAATAAGGGTTCCTCTTTGTACTCATGATTGTACTTGACTATTTTGGGGGTGTTCTTATAGGGAGATTTTGTTATCTGTGAGAAGCCGGTGAGGACAGCCTCACTGATCTCAAGTCTTATAAGACCAGATTGGTGATGTCGGGCAAGAGGGAGCTGAAAACATCTGCATCCTTCTGAGTAAGAGAAGGCCACGCCCTGGACCCTTGGCTGAATTCCTTCAGGAGGCAATGACCTCCCGGGCCTTGTGTGGGAGCGGAGATTTGGGGCATGGCTTCACACTCTTCTATTCTTATATGAGTGGAGCAGAGATACAGACGGAAATCTAAGAGGAAAGCAGTCAGTCTCATTGGTTCCAAGATCTGTGTTCTTCCTATTGTTCTCATCCACAGTGGATCTTCACGTCTCTGGAGCTGATGTCCCTGCTTGGAGTTTAGCTCAAACACACGCCTCTTGCATTGTTCTAACAGTAAAGTCTTTGGTTTAAGTTGCTCTGATTGGTGTTACTGCCTAATACAAGTTGATTTTTTGACAGACACTGAGGCAAGCTCTTCAGGAGGAAGTCAATGTGCGTAGAGAGCAGATGATTAAGCCCATTGCTTTCAGTAACCTGGCCTTGGCCCCTTCTCTCTCCCACCCCTGGCACAGCGCATCCCAGTGCTTGGTTATTTTGAGTCCATACATGTAAGACCCGAAGCAGCTGGTGTGCTCAAAAGCAGGTTTGCTAAAAACAGGCCCTGGAAGACTTGCTTGGGGCTACAGGAACACTGTGCCTGTGCTTCTCTTTAGAGACGCCCATTTCTCTTTCCCTCTGTGATGTCCTCAAGGTCGCGTGCTCTGTGCCATTGTGGGGAAACAGGTTCTAGGCCAGTAGACCAGAAAGAGCCAGGACACTGGCATCCAGCTTAGAGCTCTTTTTAAATAGAGTGAACGAATTCAATGGCCCAGTTTGGCCGTTCTCTGACAAGAAGCCAAGGCCGTTCTGAACAGTGCTTTTGGATGTGGTGGTTTGTGATGATGGCCTCCTAACAAAGGGACTGTCTCTGAGAAAGGGACTTCTCCCAGTTGGATCCCTTTTCAACTCTAAACGGCCAGGCCCAGAGTGTAAGAAGGATTGGGTCAGAAGGAAGGTTCCAAAGGACGAATGCTTCTCTCTGATCGAAAGAAGGTGTATTTTTATAGAATTCTTGTGCATAATGTCAATAAATGCCTCTCACCCTCACAATGGACTCCATTCACCCAGTCATGAGACAGGCCTTGGTTAGTGATGTGTCAGGGTGCTGCCTCTGGAGCTTCCCTTTTGACTCTGGGCACCTTCTCTTCCAGGTGCCATGCTCATGGGTTGGGAAGGTGGAAGTTTTAGGAGACAGGACTCTATGGTGTAATAGGGGCCATAACAAAATTCAGTGAAAATGAAGAACTTAACGGCAACCAAAAAGACGTAAACAAAACCACAGTGAGCCACATTACGCCATCCCAGTGGAGGAATTCTTTGGGTAATGCTCTAAATAGAAGAAATAGAGTAATCGTCACTACCCCTTTTCCACCTCTGGTTAGTTCACCAGGCTGTCCTGTGCTTAGCGTTTGGATCGCAGTCAGTTGTGCCCTGAAAGCTTCTATTCTTTCTTCCCGGAGCTTAGGATATTCTGGGAACTGTCTGATCCTCAGGCTAGTCAGGTGGTACAGTCTTCCTGTTCTGGGTTGCTCATTGGAGGAGGAGGAGGATGACTTTTGCAAACCACAAAGTGGGGTGAGCCTCAGTGTGTGATCTTGGGGTAAGCTGGAACCTGAAGAGGCTCAGATGCACAGCCACAACAGAGCAAAAACTACTCACACCGAGCAGTTTGATCCAGGTTAGAATTTCAAACATCATCCTTCTGCATACCTCCTGCCCATATTTGAGACTGATATAAGTGATTAAGCTTTCCTGGGTACCATTTTGCTGGGGCTCTTTCATGAAGGTGGTGCCGGCCTCATGATCCTTAAGAGGGAGGCTTTATTCATCAGAAGCTGGAGTATTGGGAACTGGGGTGGGAGAAGCACTTTCTGGAATAAACATATATGTATACATATGTTAATTGGGTAAGGGTGGGGCGGCAGGGGGTTAGAGGCGGTGGGAACAAAGCCTGGGTGCAGTGATGAATCTGGAGTGTGGGAAGTCACCTGGGCTCACTGTCTTCTTTCTGTATGGAGCTGGGTTTGTGTGCACAGTAAAGCACTTCCTGTGTTCTGTTAGCACTTAATTGGTTCATGGAGCCTCAGGACCCTCACATGGCATTAAATCCACAATCAGAACCTGGGTGCTGTGCCTTTCTTTTTTTAGACTGACTCTCATCCCTCCTCGGCCCCCCACTTTGCCAGCTAATAAGTGTTGACTTCTCCTTAAAATGTGATATGTTTAGGGTTGCCACACTTCATAAAACAGGCTCTTCCCTGAGATTGGCACATAAACTTCTGCCCTGACTTGAAGTGAAAGGGGGATGGCCCTACGAAGGTCCTTCTGCAGTTGCTTTAGCCTCGTCTCAGTTCCAGGTGGGTGTGCACCGGCAGACAGCTCCGCCCTCTCCTGCTGAGAAGTCTCCACGGGAAGAAGGCAGCACCATTGTATGGCTTGTGTGGCTCACAACTACGTCAGTAGTTAGGACAGAGATCCCTCCTGTCAGATCACCACTTTTTTGCAAGGGGGAAATAAGTGAGTCTGAGCGTACGTGAGCCTCAGTGGTTAAGACCCTTGCTTGAGGAAAATGGATATAAGTTGCCCTCCCTCCAAAAGCAGAGTTTTGACCCCTTCCTGGCTAATAAGTGTCCTCATCAAGAAGCCCCTTGGAGCCATTTAATGGATTAACCCAGAAAGGTGAGTTCTGAAGTGTTCTGTAGCTCTGCTACCCTCCAGCTGATTCCCTTAAAAATGGTGAAGGGATTAAGCAAAAAACAAAACAAAACAAAACACAAAAATATGGTGGTTACCAAAGGGAAAAGGGGGCAGAGGGAGGCAGAAGAGGGTAAAGAGGGTGGAGGGTAAATTGTAACGGAAGGAGACTTGACTTGGGGTGGTGAACACACAATACAATACACAGCTGATGTATTACAGAATTGTACACTTAAATCTTTACTAAATAAAAAAATCTCTGATTATTCTAACTTTTAAACAAAAACACTGTATCATCTGTGCCAAATGAATTCCTGACCTAATTACTGTGCAACACTCACATAGTAAGAATACACTAATAATATCTTATAAATTGAAAACTGAAGCGCACAGAAGGGTAATTTCCCCAAGGGCACATAGCCAGTAAGTGGCAGAGCCAGGAGGTAAACCCAGAGCCCTTTTCTGAAATCCTCATGGGTGTCCAACAGCAGAGCTCTCCCTTCCACTTGGCAGCTCAGTGTCCCACCTCTGAGGCTCAGGGCTTCACCCTGCCTAACCTATAAAGATTTGAAAAGCAAATAGTCTGGAAGGAATAGTAGAAAGACTTGCTTAGACCCGTGGGTCTCAGGCAGCCCTGAGCACTAAGGAGAGAACAGGGCCCCCAATGTTCCCTGGGTGGTGAAGGGCCCTACTCATGAGAC